AAAAATTGTTTTTTATTGTATTGTTTCTGCTATAAATGTAGTAAAATATCAATGATATCTTTGAGTTGGAGTGATATACTCCTCTCCATTTTATGCGCTCTGCTCTTCATCTTCTTCCTCTCGGTTCTCTCCATTTCTTTGTTTTAAAAAACCCAACAGGTTGCAACCGGAGAATTTGTAGTTGCTAAAGAGCAATTCGTCTAAGGAGTTAGCGAAATTGGCTATGCTGGGTGGGAGGCAGCCACCGAAATTGTTGTTGGCCAAGATGATGGCGGAAGGCGAATTTCCGTTCAAAGCAGGGGGAAGCGAACCGGTGAAGTTGTTGTCGTTGAGGATTATGGCGTCGAGGCCTTTGGTGAAGAGTTGAGGGGGCACTGGCCCTTGGAATTCGTTGAAGCGGAGATCGAGGTAATGGAGTGCGGGAAGGGAAAGGATGACACTGGGAAAAGGTCCAGAAAAGTGGTTGTTGCTGAGGTCGAGTTCGTAGAGGAGGTTGAGGTTGGAGAGAGACGTCGGAAGGACACCGCTGAACCCGTTGCTGTTAAGGTGGATGAGGGCGAGATCGGAGAGGAGACCCAGTTCGTCCGGAACGGTGCCGGTCAGGCTGGCGTTGTTGAAGTCAATGCCGGCGACGACCTGAAGGGTCTCGTTGTAGGGAGCAGGGGCGCAGTATACGCCTTTGTAACTGCACACATCAGGGCCAACCCAGTTGGAGAGGAACTTACCTGGGTCAGATTGGACGGCATTTTTCCAAGCTTGGAGAACAATGTAAGCCTGTTGGAGTTGTGGAGTGGGAGGGTTGGCCTCGTTGTTGCTGTCGCTGTGGCTTCCGGTGTGGTGTTCGCAGTCGAAGGTGGCAGAAAAGCCCTGTTTGGCTGCCAAAATATTGATGGATACGGAGCAGATTAGAACTGGAAGCAGGGTGAATGAGTAAAATAAAATTAAACTTGATGAAGACATTTTTTTTGGTCTTGTGGAGAAGTGAATTTAGGTTGTTCTGGTTTTGTAGGAGATTGTAAAGGGATAAGGGTCTTTGCTTTGCATGAGATTGCTGGGTTCTTCGTGTTTTATGATAGGTTAAATGCTAACATTGGTCCCTCAACTTTATGGAGTTGCTCTTTTTTCATTCTTCAACTATTTTTTGTATTTTTTTAATCCCTCAATTCTAAATGCTGCACAATTTTAGTCTGTCCAATTATCTATGACATGGCAGTTAAAAATTCCATAGTGGTATTTTCTTTAAATTTTTTTATGACATGGCAATAACACATCATACAATTTGATTACATGTACAAATAAAAATGCTAAATCAAACGCCAAATTAGATTAGCATTTATATTTTTAATAAAAAATAAAAAACTATAAAGTTACCTTGTACCCTTGTCTCCCTCTTTTGTTCCATCTTCTTTCCCTCTTTCAATCCATCTTCATTTCTTTCTTCCTCTTCTTTCTTCCTTTGTGTGAACCCATTTGTTGGATTTCTCGAACCCAGTGAACCAAGCAAATTTGGGTTTGACAGAACCCAGCAACTGGGTTATTTGTTGCAAATGAACAATTGAGTTTATACAAATTGCAAGTTGTGAGGAATTTTTGGGATCCTTTTGCTTTATATTTCCTAACTATTGTTCTTTTGCTTTATATTTCTTAACTATTGTCTAAATGATTTTAACATTCAAAATGGAAAGAACATCACCAGTGCTGAAAAGAACAGAAGCAGTGACTGATGGGCAAAGAAGCAATTTTTAATGGGTTTTGTTGGCTCAATGCACTCCAAGAGGCGGGATGAATTGGAGTTCCAAAATTTCCTCTTCTTTGCAACCACAAAACAAAGAATTAAAGATAGTAAGGAAGAAGAGTTTGCTCAATGATTTTATAGAAGTTTGGTCTAACCACTTGGAGCCTAGTCCTTTACCTTGGCTTTACTCACCAAGAATTTCCTCCACACTCTCCACTATTAAGAACAAGGGTGGCTTAAAGGAGCCACTTAATCCTTTTACAAGAAGATGAGTATTTCTCTCAAATCTCACCCATTTACAAGATAAACCCAAACAATCCTCTCTACAAATCACTTTTGAAGGAATAATCACACTCCTAAAATCACTCACAAATAGAATAAGAAGAGGATTACAAGCAAAGATCACTCAAAGATCCAATACTCAAGTTAAAGCACAAGTTGATAGGTAGAGATATTTAATACAAAGCTCTTCAAACTTATTTCAAATCTGCTACTAACCATATTTATAGCTATTGCTCAAAAATACCCATTTCTAGCAATTGGGATCATTTAATGCTTTGCAGGATGTGTAACTTCAAATTACAAAATTGTCAACACAACCGACTTAGACCTTTAGAGCCGGCTCCACATCTGGCTTAGACTTGTAGAGCTGGCTTCACAGCCAGCTTAAAAAATATGCAGCCAGCTTTACATGTTTCCTCCACATTCTGTTTTTCTCAAGAGTCGGTTGCAAAAATGTAAAGTTGGCTTTGGGATTCTGACTTTAAAGACATTAAATAATTTTCAAATAACTTGACCATTGTGCATTAAATACGCCATCACAACCGGCTTTGCGTCTATTTTCCACACGTGCCAAACAACGAACTTGAAATTTTCACCTGTAGAGCCAACTCTAAAAGCTGCAGTTGGCTCTTTGCATTTTTGCCTCCCACAGCCGGTTGCAAATTCGTTAAGCTAACTCTCTGCACATTTTTCAGCCTTTTTGGTCCTTTTTAGTGCAATCTTATTTTACTTACTTTGTAGTCTTTTGGCAATTTAATTACACACTTAAATGAACCAATTAGTCATTCAAATGTATTTTGTAATCATCAAAATCATAGTTACAATAGGTTTCCATTTGCTTGGCTAGAAAATTGTACAGTTTGAGCGTTTGGACACTGAGAAAATGGTTTCAATCAGTGTTTTTGGAATAAGTATTGTATTAATAGGTGTTTGGTTGCCAAAAAAATTGTCATAGTTGTTAAGAAAATTTGTTGAGAAAATTGTGATTTAATTAGAAATTAATTAGAATCTTAATTTTGATTAAAATAAGTAATTATAGTTTAATGAATGAAGTAAAAGGCGAGATCCATAGTTCAGTTGAGGTGGAATCTAATCTAGATAACTTTTTGTCCACATAAGCGTTTTGTTTTACTTTAATTTGCCACATCATTAAAAAAATATAAAAAATGCCACATGAACGGAGTTAATGGCTTGAACTGACAGAAGGACCAAAATTATGTTGACTCAATGTACTCCAAGAAAGGGGGTGACTTTAAGTTCCAAAAATTCTCCCCTTTTTGCAACCACAAAACCAAAATTAAAGAAAGTAGAGAAGAAGAGCTTGCTTAATAATTTTATAGAGGTTTGGTCCAACCACTTGGAGCCTAGTTCTCTAACTTGGCTTCACTCACCAAGGATTTCCTCCACACTCTCCATTATCAAGAACAAGGGTGGCTTAAAGGAGCCACTCAATTCTTTTACAAAAAGATGAGTATTTCTCTCAAATCTCACCCCTTTACAAGATAAACCCAAACAATCCTCTCTGAAAATCACTCTTGAAGGATTAATTACACTCCCAAGATCACTCACAAATAGAACAAGAAGAGGATTACAAATAAATATCTCTCAAAGATAAAAAAACTTAAGTTAAAGCACATGTAGGTAGGTAAAGATATTCAATGCAATACTCTCTAAACTCGTTCCAGATCTTCTACCAACCATATTTATAACCCATGGTCGAAAATAGTCATTACTAGCTGTTGGAGGTCATTAAATGCTCTATAGGTCGCACAATTTGAGTTGCAGAATTTTCAGTACAACCGGCTTACATTTATAGAGTCGGCTCTATAGCCAGCTTAAAAAATCTGCAGCTGACTTTTCGTGTTTCCTACACGTTCTGTTTTCTCCATAGAGCCAACTGCAAACCATAAAACTAGCTTTGGGATTTCAACTTTAAATACATTAAATAATCTTCAAATAACTCGACTGTTGTGTATTAAATGTGCCATCACAGTCGATTGCAAAGTCAAAGCCGGCTTTGTGTCCATTTTCCACACACGCCAAACAACAGACTTGAAATTTTCACTTGTAGAGCCAACTGCAACTTCAAGAGCCGGCTCTCTGCACATTTTTCAAGCCTTTTGGTCCATTTTGAGTGTAGTTCAAGTTTACTTACTTTGCAATCTTTTAACATTTTAACTATACATTTAAATAAATTAATTAGTCACTCAAATGTGTTTAATAATCATCAAAATCATAGGTACAACAAATTATGCATCTCTTAGAGTTGAGGGATCAAAAAAGTGCAAAAAATAGTTAAGAGACCAAACAATTACAACTCCATGAAGTTAAGGGACCAAAATTAACATTGAACCTTTATTATATTTGTTGATATCCAAACAATAGCCGTTTGAAAGCATCCAGAATAATAAATACATCTGTTTACTTTCTTATTTTGAATTTGAGCCCAAAAGGAATGTTATTTAATGGCAGATCTTTACAGTTTACACTTCAATTTTAACAAGCCACCTAAAAGAGAAGAGAAATTATTATAATTATAATGTCAAGTAATATTATAAATTTATAATATAATATTTCGTTATATAATTATTTTTTTATTTAAAAATTTATTCATAATATTATATGTATATGTGAAAATTAAGTATATAAGTTTTAATATAAAACTTAGGTCTAACCTAAAACCGACTATATACTTTTTGATTTAAAATTTTTTCATTCAACACATTCCCTCAAATACTAGCTTACTATGAATTGAATTATTTATTGAATTACTTACTGAATTACTAAATAGAGTTGATATTCTTAAATTAAAAAAAAAAATTACTCAATTATTTAAAAACTAACACAAAGTTTATATTTTGAAATAAAAAAATCATATTCCTATCCACACATTTTCTTGTTTTCTTCTCTTAAAGACAAAGTTTCAGGCTGTGGCCGGTGGGGGATCATAGGGGGAGTGGGCATTAATTTGAGTCAGGAAAGAGATTTTGTGGATTTGTGTTAGAAAAATATTTATTAAAAATCTCAACTTTACTATTATATTGTTAAAATATTATGTCCCAAAATTGCGCTACCAGCAGTTGGTTAATATTGACTTTTTATGATAATTATTAATTATAATAATATTAATTTAAATTAATTATTTTAAATTAATATTATTAACCTCATATATACTTAATAAATTAAAAAATCAATGTATAGTGAAAAATTAGCTTTTAGTTCATTTATACGAGAATCCCAATTTTTATTAATTTTTACATAATTAAAAGATCAACACTTAATTAATTTATTGATTATTAGTTTAATAAAATTAATGTTTCACTGTATGCCATTTAGTTGGCCATGCTTTAGAACACTCATAAATTCTACAAGTTTTAAGATTGGTACTTATCATTTACCATGCATGAAGTGATTTTTTCAACACTATTTCATTAATTTTTTTTCTTTCACTTTACCTTTATTCTCCTATATTGTATAGGTATATCTTCTCATATTTCTGTCTCTCTTTGCATCTCTATTTTTCTATCCCCCTATCCCTCACATGTCTTCTTTCTTTTTGTACTTTCTCATTCTACTATATTATGTTAAGGAAATAATGTCTATTAACCTTACCTTCTAAAGATTATGAGGAAAATCATTCCAAAATTACGTTGTTTCAATAAATTTTTATTGAGAAAAACTAAACTACCTTATTTTTAAAGCATGCATTAAGGTGATTTTTGTCATTTTTCTTCTTAATTTTTTAGAAATAAGGCAGACAAACACTAACCCCTTATGTTAATATATCTTCTCATATTTATTCATTGGGGAGTGAATGTTCTGGTTCTATATATTTAAGCTATATCTTCCTACTCGTCCACACAACGTCGTTTTTTATTCATCTACCGCCCTTTTTTTCTTCTTGACAATTAACGCACAAAGATTATAATTAGAACGTTTTAAGTAAAAATATAAAAACCAAACTTCTTAATATTATATCCTTTCACTTG